ATAAAGACTTGACACTCCACTTCCAGGGATACTTTAGCCATGGCTTTTCTCTCTGAGAACGCAACTTTAAAGGGACTTTAATGCTTTAATGATCTTCCCAGTGGCTAGAATACCAGGGTATTGATTTTCTTTTTTTTTTGGCTGTTAATTTTGGATCACGTTAGCTGTACTCAGGACTACTCCTGACTCTATGCTCCAGTATCACTCCTGGAGAGCTTGGGGGACCATATGGGATTCCAGGAATTGAACCCAGGTTTGCTGCATGCAAGGCAAATGCCTTACCCACAGGGCCTTGGCTATTGATTTTTAAGACTACTTCTGAGCTGAAAAGTGGAAAATGAGAAGAAAATTAAAATGCCATAAAGCTTAATATTTATTTGGTTTTTGTTTGAGATCTGGCCATTTTTAAAATCAAATATTCTGTGGGTTACTAGAAAGTTTTTGTTACTAAATTCTGAAATACTTATTCTTTTTCATTCGTTTTTATCTCAGGACCATATCCTTAGTGCTCAGAGACTGTTCCTAGCTTCATACACAGAGGTTGCTCCTAGTAGTGCTTGGGGGACCACGTGGGCTGGGTGTTGAACCCAGAGCCTCGTATATGCAAGTGCTCTACTATAGCCACATCGCTGGCCTCTGTTTTTTTTAACACATATCATGGTGTTCACATTGCCTTCCTGGAGGAAAGGAGTTTCAATGCTATCCCACTTTACTTCTTGATATCTGGTTGTTGTCTTGGTCAACTTATGTTGCACTGATAAAGGGCTTAAATTCTCTCTGAAGACCTGTAGGACTAGATGCTTTCCTGATGAGTTTGCAGCTGGACTTGTGTGCCTTGTAAATCTGACTTAACATTTAAAAGGTCCCTCTAAGAGTTTTTCCCAGGAGTTTTTTTGTAAACAAGATTCATCTCACAGATCTTGGGGTATAAGCTGGTGATATTGCATAGTCTGTTTATTGCTACTACAGGCCCTTGGGAGTTTACACATCTCTCTGACCACCAAAATGTACCTGGATCCTTTTTCTCTTGCTGCACTTTGTCCTTTGCCTTAAAGTAGAGGTCTTTGTGAAGATGCTTTATGGAGTCTGGAAAATCTTTCCAAAAACTAAACTTGCAGATCTAAGCTGCTACAGAATAAAATACAAAGGATACTATAGACCAGTATGGAAAGACATGCAGTTATGTCATCTGTAAGTGGAATTTGTTTTACCGCTTTCTTGAACTATTTATGTACATATGTATGTTTATCTAATAGCTCGTATAGTTACATGAAAATATAAAGTACATATTGTATAGTTAGTACACTATTTTTATGTAAGTAAAGCAAAAAATACTAGGTATATCATTGAATTTACCAGATTTGTATAGGATACACAGAAAAACTACCATTGTTAACTATGAAAATGGTATAAACGAGAGCCTTCACATCCTTCAACAGATATATTTTCATATTGTTTTATTTTTAAAGGTTATGAATAGGTTACCCATTCTCAAATTATAATATCAAAGTAAATAAATGAGAAGAGGGCCTGGAGAGAGAGTTCAAAGAGCTGGAATGCATGCTTTACCTATGGAAGCCTAAGCTTTGATCCCTGTCAACAGATGGTCCCCCCCATGCTGGGAGTGACTCCCACCTCCACTCATTTATATATGGGACCCCTCACCCTCAGAAAGTATTGCACTGTCACTGTAGCACTGACATCCCATTGTTCATCGATTTGCTTGAGCGGGCCCAGTAACTTCTCCGCTGTGAGACTTGTTGTTACTGTGTTTGGCATATCGAGTGCATCACAGGAAGCTTGCCAGGCTCTGCTGTGCGGGCGAGATACTCTTGGTAGCTTGCCGGGCTCTCCGAGAGGGGTGGAGGAATCGAACTCGGGTCAGTCATGTTGGCTGCGTGCAAGGCAAACGCCCTACCTGCTGTGCTATTGCTCCAGCCCACCCTCAGAAAAGTAAATAAACACCCTCAGAAAAGTAAATAAAAATTAAGCCACAGGCCCAAATTTTAAGTACTGATAAATGAAGGTGGAAAGATAATGAAAATACCAGAGTGAACATAAACAGAGGAAAACAGCACTGCAAAATACAAAGGTGAAGTCTTATATAATACATGGGTAGTGGGGTTGGGTTGATAGCATAGTGGGAAGGTCATTTGCTGGTTCTTGGCTCCCTGGTATTGCACGTGATCCTGCAAGCACCATCACTAGTGATCCCTGGGCACAGTGAGCCCCGAGCACTGCTAAGTATGGTCCAAAATAACAAAAACCCAATGATGTGGGGAGCATATAAAAGGCTTGGATTATTGCTATAGCTAAGGATTTCTAAACAACAATATTAAAGTACATAATAGGACTGTTCTTTGTTTAGTTTTTGTTTTTTTGCTTTGGAGAGATTTTTTTTTTTTTTTGGCCATACCTGTTGGTGCTTGGGCTGGAGCGCACTCAGCTAACCCGGGTTTGATTCCTCCGCCCATCTTGGAGAGCCCAGCAAGCTACCAAAAGTATCTCGCCCACCCAGCAAAGCCTGGCAAGCTACCTGTGACATATTCGATATGCCCAAAAGAGTAACAAGTCTCACAAGTTGTTGTGAAATGTTAGTGGTGCCCGCTCGAGCGAATCAGTGAACAATGGGAGGACAGTGACAGTGACCTGGTGGTGCCCAGGGTTTACTCCTGGCTCTATATTCAGGTACCACTCCTCTCAGGGATCTGGGGGCCATATGGAGTGCCAGGGATTAAACCAGGGGTTGCTGTGTGTAAGGCAAGTGCCTTACCTGCTATCAATTGCTCTGATGCCAGAGAGGATGGTTCTTTGTTGAAGGGTCTGTGGTGTCTAGTACCCTGGAGACCAGAAGCATCCTGACCCCAAAACAGTGACAACTAAAAACTTCTCCAAACAATACTAAATGGCCAGAAAATCATAACTTGAGAATCATAACTTTTAGCTGATTTGAGTTGTAAGAATTTTCTGAGCGGCTCTTTTTGGGTTGTTTATTTTTGGTTTAGGAACCGTTACACAGCAGTGTTCAGTGTTAAGTTCTGGCTCTGCACTCATGGATCACACCTGGAACTTGGAGGGATCTTAGGGGGTGCTGGAATCAAAGCTGAGTCAACCACGTTGACGGCAAGCAAGTGCCTAATCCACTAGGCTATTCTGCTGGTCTGAGCAGCTCATTAAAAAAAAAATGTTTTAAAATTTTTCTAGTGAATAGTTTCCTGGCAACTGATTATGCTCCAGAATTACTCTCCACTGACATGTGAAATACACCAGATAAGAGTATTTTTCAGGTTTTTGTTAAACTCTATACATGGCTCAGTCAGTCATGCAACTTCTTTTGAGTGACATTAATAATGACACTATCAGACATATGTTCCCTTTCATTAAGACATTTAAACTGATGTTAGACAGTTTAAACTGGAATCAAATACTCATGTCCCTGTATACACTGTTCAGGAGAAATTCTTTATCAAATCAAGGAGAGGGACACCTCTTAATATGCGTTGTAAGAAATGTTGCCCGCTTTAAAAACAAAACAAAAAAAGTTTTCCCTTGGGAGTCTGGAATCCCTTAAAAATTCAAGAAATTGTCGGGGTGGAAGTAAGGACAACAATCAGTCAACTGAGCATCAGTGTCAATCCTGTCTGCCAAAACCCAACCCAGAGTCCCCTGCTCACTCAGCAACTGCAATTCCAGCTGGGATGAGCTTCTCACTCAGCTCTACCCTATGTTCTGAGAGTCCTGCATGTGGTGATGATTAGTTTTAAATACGATTCTGTTTCCGAAATCAACTCAAACCTAGAAAATCAGAAAACCGGCCCACAGACGACAGCAGGAGCATCTGTGCCAGCTTGGAGTCTGGTTCCGGGGGCTGTTTTTTGAGTGTGTTTACGCTGGAGGCGCGCAGGATGATCCCGTCCCCAGGGGGGTTGCCCCGCTGTCTCCTCCCCTTTTAATTCTATTGGAAGGGAGGCAGTTCAAAGCGGGAAGATTGTTTTATAGCTATGATGGGGAAGTCTCTTCTTGCGAGGGAGGAGGGGCGGACCACAAAATCGAAGGGATCTAAAAACAGAATCCATCTGTATAATGTCCCACCGCTGCCCCTGAGTAGTCGCAACTCTTCCCCAATTCACCCAAGCCGGTGCTGTGGAGACTCGGCTCCCAGGGACCCGCGGGGCAACAGGACCGCACGGCCAGGGGAGACTGCCGCCTGCCCGACGGTTTCCAGGTGGAAAAGCTGTTCTTGGGGGAACCCCTGACCCTCTTGAATGACTTGGGAAGCAAGACTTACCCTTTCCCCGGGCAGGGAGCGACAGCAGCGCTCAAGAGATCCAGCAGTGAGAACCCAGTTCCCGCCGCTGAAACCGCTATTTCCCGCGCGCCGGGTCCCTCCTGCAGGAAGCAACCCCACCCCACTCTCAAGCGATCCCGCAGGGCAAGCCGAACTGCCAGGCTTTCATGCTCCCCCCACTCCAACTCCCTTCCGCCTCCAGCCCCACTTCCCAAGCTCCCCCAAGGCCCTGTGTCCATCCTTGCACTCACTGCTGACCACCACCCAGCTCCTCCTGGAAGGCGCTCAGCAGGTGCGTTGCGAACAGCTTTCTGCTGCAGCCAAGGGGCCAGGAGCGCTCTGAGGCCCACCCTCTCCGACTACACCAGAGAACACGCGGGTTGCACAGCCAAACTCCCAGGATTGCAAGGGTCCAGGAAGGCTAGGGCTAGGTCTCTTTCCCAACCCGACGGGGCGCGCGTTTGCGGGTCCGCCTCTTCCCGCGGGGGGGCGGGGGCGAGGACGGGGGGTGGGTGGGCTGGGGCCTGGCTCTGATTAGCTGCGAGGGGGAAGCCCTGGTCCCAACCACTGACTCCCAGGCTCCCGAGAAGGAATATAAGAGAAGGGCGTGAGGGGGTGGCCCATCCCTTAGCATTCGGACCTGGGTCTCCAGAGCTGCCGCTGCAGCTGCCGTCGGGCGGTGCTGGCCTCTCTCGCTCCGAGACTCCCCGCTATGGGTCCCCCTGCCCGCTCTGGCTTCTACGTGAGCCGCTCGGCCACCCTGCTCCTGGCCGTGCTGGCATCCGCGCTGGTGCTGGCGCTGGCCGTGCTCGCCTCCCTCTACGGGCACTGCGCGCGCGTCCAGCCGTGCGACCCGCACGCCGCGTCCCCGGCGCCCCCCGCGCGCCAACAGCAGGAGGAGCCGCCGTCGACCGTGCCGATCTCCACGACGGCTGAGCCCGAGGACGGCCAGGTCCCTCGCACCTCGCGACCCCCGGGGCCCTGGGACCAGATGCGCTTGCCCCCCTGGCTGGTGCCGCTGCATTACGAGCTGGAGCTGTGGCCGCAGCTGCTGCCCGACGACCTGTCGGAGGCGGCGCTGCGCTTCACCGGCCGCGTGAACATCACCGTCCGCTGCACCGAGGCCACGGCGCGGCTGCTGTTGCACAGCTTCTCCCTGGACTGCCAGGACGCCGAGGTGCGGGGTCCGCTGTCCCCCGGCAAGCGGGAAAGCGCCGGCGGCCGCGTGCAGGTGACCGAGTCATGGTTCGCGCCCGACATGCAGTACCTAGTGCTGGAGCTCGGCGAGGCCCTGCAGCCGGGGCGCCTCTACCGGGTGCACCTCAGCTTCTCGGGCGCAGTGAACGTCGACGCTCGGGAGGGACTCTTCCTCAACGTCTATACGGACCAGGGCGAGCGCAGGTAAGGGCGCAGGGCTCGTTTCCCGATCCTGTGCGTCTCGGTGAGGGGCCCAACGCTCCCCACCGCGCTTCCATCCAGCTCCCAACTACGTTTTCTTCCAGAGGCTGAAAGCGAGCGCCTGCGCCCTCCAGGACTGCCGGCGTCTCCTCTGGCCGTTTTTGGCCGCACTACTGCTTAGAATCCAGTTTATTTACCTTGTCCCCCCCTTTTAAAGTCGCTGCTACTTCCAGAACTTTTTTTTCGTATGGTGTCTGAAAGCCCCTTTCCCCTTCGAGCCCAGAGTGACAAGCTTCACGCATCCTCAGCGCACCTTGTGCTAGAAGCTCGCCAGTCCGGCCAGTCACCGCTGGGAGATGGCTTGCTCGTCCCACCCGCGATCCCGGGGATCCGATTAAGTTTGGGGACAGAAGCAAAAGGGGAAAGGTGCTTGTGGGGGTCAGGCTGGTCCTTCTCGTGCTCCGCTCCCGCGTCTGTCGCTTTTTCCTGGGCATCTCCTAACTGCTGCCTTTACCGTAGGCCCATGCTTTGGCTTTTTTTTTTCCCACCTAAAAACTATTTTAAAAAAAATTTTTTTTTATCATGCTTTTCAATTTTTGCTGAGGTTCTCCAGAAGTTCAGAATCTGCTCCCACCATCGGCCCGCCTGGCGTCTGGTGTAGCCGAGGATCCGCCGCACACCCTACCCGGGGGCGGGGTGTGGGGGGAGGCGCGCTTTGAAGAGCTCTGCTCTGTGTCAGCTCGCTTTAGGGTTTCCTCCCCTGGGGGCCCGGGAAATAAGGAAAGCGATGACAAGTCACCTCCCCTCTGCGCTTGCAGGCTCACCGAGCATACATGTGTTCCCTTTACCCTCGTTTGAGATAATGTTTCCCAGACGGTATGTTCCCGGCTCCAAAGTGGCCCATTTCCATGCTCTGCGACCACGGTACTGACCTCAGGAGAGCGCTGCGGAAATGGTTTGTGGGGCAGACCCTAAAGCGGCCTCCCCGACCCCACCCCCAAACTGCCCCTCCCCCTTCACTCCCGCACTGGTGGAGAGATTGCGGTTTACACAACTGCATCTACTTTACTCTTTATTATTAAAGAAAATGTTCTCAGATGTTCTCAGAGGGGGAAGAAACCCACTAAATTACCCTCTAAATCTCTCCTGCACTACTTTCAAAAACGTCAGGGGGTTTAAAGCGAGCTTAATAAACTGCCCTTGCGGATGTGTAATCTCTAGCTTTTGTTTTTAAGGAAAGCATGCGTGGGGTTTTTCCCCCCCCCCTTTTCAAAAATGAGTCAATGCTTGAAAAATAGTTTTGAGAAGTTTCTCATTAGGCTGAGTCCTGGACTTGTGAGCACTTGGAAACGTTTTGAAATGTTTTTGTTGAGGGTACAAGACTTGTCTGATGCTCACACAGATTGAGGAGGGGTTTATTGTCAGTCAGTAAATCTTGGGGTTTCTCCCATCTTTTCCTGTCTCACTGGGTCGAGGACCCAGAAAAACTGCCCTCCAAACACGGGAAAGAAACTCTTATTGGTTCCTCTATTTTGCTGCCAAATCTAGTGGTAACTGGAAACTGTATTTTGAGAACATTAAGATTCCAACAAGTAGCACTCTTTAGAAAGCCCTGCAGAGGTTCAGGTGGGAATCTGGAGGGTGACTGAGAGGGAACCTGAGCTCTGACTGGAGCCTCTTCACCTGAGTCTGTGCTTGTAGTGGAAGACACACAATTAGCCCCAACTTTCAGAGTGAAATTTAAAGGGGAAGAAAACATACTCCTTGCAGTGTAGCTGCCTGAGTTTCTCAGAGTTTCCTTCCCATTTGAATCACCTGGAGAGCTTTTAGAATTCCTGGTGCCTTTGGGGGGGATTTGAGAGTGCGGGGGAGGGTTGGGCTACACCCAGCCTTTGGGCTGCAGGTAATATTGGGAGTGTTGAGGACTGTGCCCTGTTACCCCGATTACAAGGCAAAGAGCTCACCCCTGAGCTCTCTTCTGCCCCCTGACATTTTTCTAATAGCCTACATAATGTTGGGGGCCAGACCACAACCAGGACCGTTATTTTAGAACCATCTTGGGGAGGGCCAGAGTTAGAGGAGAGTTGGTAGAGCAATTGCCCTGCATTCTGTCCACCCAGGTTCTATCTTTGGTACTATATAGGGTTCCCCAAGCCTACCAGGAGTGATCTCTGAGCACAGAGACAGGAGTAAGACCAGAGCACACTGCCAGGTGTGGTCCATAACAAACAAACCAAAGAACCATCTTGGGAAGCAAAGGGAGGGCCAGTTCCAGGCCTCAGGGTTTCTAAGTCTGTTCAGTGAGCCTAGTGGGAAGGTGAGTCTGAGAACCACAGGTAGCTACTAGTGTCAGCGAGGATTTCATTGGGAGGTGAAGCCTGTTGTTATCACACGGTGGGACTTGTCTTGCTCCTGGGAGGTAAGGGTGTGGGGAGATTTCCAGAAGGGAAGACACATCTCACTGACTTCTCATTTTTGGCTAGATGACTAATTCCAGAAGCAGTGTTTAGAAACAGGGTGACCTCGTGTTTTCCTCTTTTTTTGGTGACCATTTCCCCTCCAGCCCCCATCTGAACAGGTAACTTTGAAAATAACTTTATTCAGTATTAGGGGAACAGTGAAAGAAAACCCTCACAAGAACTACAAAGAACATCATGATTCCATACTTCTAAGGTGCTCACTCCCTGGGTTGCTGTGGATGTTGTTCATGGCTCCTGGTCCTTTCCCCCATCACAGGCATCCATCACGTTTCTACTGTAAAGGAGCCGTTTGCTGGGTGTGTGGGACACGGGCATCTGCATGTTGGTGTGTAGAGTGCTTCATGTGGAGTTCTGTGTAGAAAGTGAGAGCTAGATCTAAATGGCCACGTCCCTCCGAGCAGTATTACCAGAACTTCTTTTCTGCACAGAGGGTGGTAGAGCAGGGTAGTGGTGATCCCAAGCAGTCCTTTGGGAGCCCAAGGGACACATGGTGAAATTTGCCCAACCAGGTTTCAGTGCTCTGATACTGCAGTGGTAAGGGAACCTACAGTATCACATCTGGCCGTGCTGGCTGGGGAGCATGTGATGCCAGCATTGGAACTCTATTTCATTGCATGCAGAGCACTAACCACTGAGCCATCTCCCTGGCCCTTTCCCAAACTTCTTTCACTGATACCACTATTTCAAGTTTGCCAGGTTTACTTACTTCTGGGTATGTTATCTGCTTAACAAGTCACTTTATTTAAACAGAAGTATTAGGCAACTGTATAACATTATCACAAAAGGGAAACTACTTGGCAATTTATAGGAAGTAATAGTATGGTTATAGAATAAAAGTCGAATAATACTATCTTTTCTATCAGTTTTTGCCTGATAAAGATTAAACACGAGGGCTAGTCTCTTGGTTAAAAAGGGGGAAAAAAGAATTTAGTTATTTAAGTTGAATAACACTAAAACCAAAATGTTCTTTTGATCTAATCTAATTGAGTCACAAAGTTGAAAAAGGACACACTATATATTGTCAGTTATACAGAGATATGCCAAATATATTCCTTTTCCTCCTAGTCACTGCACTAGAAAAGTGACTCACAAACTTTACTGCAGGACTGGAGAGATAGTACAGCAGGTAGAACACTTACCTTGCTTGTGGCTGAACTGGGTTTGGTTTCCATATGGGAATATGGTCCTCTAAGCCTGACAGAAGTGATCCCAGAGTTAGGAGTAAACTCTGAGCGCTACTAAAGCCCAAAAACGAAAAGAAAGGAAATGACCATCTCTTTCAAAGTGACTGCCATTTGCCGTTTCCACCAGCCATGGATGAGAGTCCCACTGATCCGCAGCCCCATTAGGACTTGGTGTTATCCATGTTTCAGATTTCAGATGTTCTAATATCCATGGAATAAAATCTTGTTTCGGTTAGCATTTCTCAGATGACATAAGATGTGGAACATTTTTTTCATGTTTATGTACCGGCAAGGCTACATTTCCCCTATCTATCATCAGTAAGAATATGGGATCTAAAGGCTTAGTTAAAAGACCATTCACTTTATACATCTGAATTCTGTCCAGAACTAGATTATTTCTGATTTTGATAATCTCCTCCAGGAAAAATAGATATTCCGTATCATGCAAAAAGCTGGAGTTTATAAGATTCTAAATTATTTCTAATTTCAAAACAATTATTATCAAGAACTCCATTTTAAAAAAATGCACCACAAAGCTATCTTTTATACCAGTGGCTTCTAACTTTTGGAATCCATCTTGGGGAACCCTGCCAAAGTTCAGTTCTCAACTTCTCCAGGTTTGCTTAGTCATCTGATAGTAGCTGGAACTCGAAAGTTTAAAAAAAAAAATCTGTTTCTTTTCTTTCCCTAGGCTACAGAATTCTTAACAAATTGTCTTTGGGCCTTTTTAAGACAAGGCTAGGCCTTTTCTAGAATATCTCCTAAGGAGGGTTCCATTAGTTATCCTAGTTCTGAGAAGTAGCCTTGAGGCTTGACATCCATAGCATTAATCCCAGTGAATAAAATGAAGTCCTTGGAATATCTTTCCCTAGGGTGATAATAGTGCATGAGAAATTTCTTTTGATATCCTCCTTTTTATTTATCATTGCTGGACCTATGTAATATATAATGGGGATGAGAAACAAGGGTCCTATCTCCATGAAAAACTATTTAAAAACGCTCAAAGTCTTAGGGCCACCTTCGTTTCTCTTTTGGTGAAAGGTCTTAGAATGGGATCTTTTTTTAAGTTAACCATGAAGAAACTACCTTTCTTTCACTGAAAGAGTTTGAAGATCAGATCTGCCTTAGAAGTGATGTGGACCAATGGGCACTGCCACTTAGCCTCATCCATTTTCTAGAAGAATCTGTGCAGAAATTGGTGTCATTTCTTCCCTAGATGTTTGGTTATACATCACCCATGAGGGAGTTGGAGCAATAGTACAGCGGGTAGGGTGTTTGCCTTGCATGTGGGCTTAATCCTAGCACCCCAAATAGTCTCTTGAGCCCATCAGAATTGATC